AGAAAAAGTTTTAAAAATTACATTATTAACTGGTATTTCTCTACTCAAACCTGTTTCGGAACTGTAATAATTTAGAGGAATGCAGGAACAGAAATGTTAAAATATCGTATATAGAGTGTATAGAGTATATAGAAATATAGAGTGAACTGATTGCAGTTTTTTTTTTCGTTTTCAAGCCCTTGTAAGACATATTGTCTGTATTACGCTATAAAACTGACAGAATAAAAAAAAAACTGAGACTTTGTTTTATATTAAAAGTACCAACAGCACAAAGCTTACTGCTATTAATGGGTGGATGGCGCACCACAAATAATGAATGCGTTCGAAGACGTGACATATTTCCAAGCATACTGTCCCTGAGAGTATATGACACATGGTATGATTTCTGCTAATAATCCCACATATATTAAAATCAGTTGCCAGGCTACCATAATTTATCCCAGTGCTCCCAATCTGGGACATTTGCATGCACAATATAGGCCATCTCAAAATATTATAACTTTAATCTTGTAATTTCTATGACTTAATTCTCATAATTTTTTTCTTTATTCTTATTATAATAAATATAATAATAATAATATTATTATTATATATTTTTCTTTATTCTTAAAATATTATGACTTTAATCTCATAATTGTAGATTATTTATTTATATACATATATATATAGTATCGCTCAAAAGTTTGGGATCAGTAAGACTTGTAATGTTTTTTTTAAAGAAGACTCTTCTGCTCATCAAGGATGCATTTATTTGATCAAAAATACAGAAAAAAAATAGTAATCTTGCAAAATGTTATTACAATATAAAATAATGGTTTCTATTTTAATATACTTTAAAATATAATTTATTTCTGTGATGCAAAGCTGAATTTCTGTCAGCTATTACTCCAGTCTTCAGTGTCACATGATCCTTCAGCCATTAACCCCTACAGGTACAAACAGTAGTGATGTTTTATTTCTTTCTTTGTTTGTTTTTTTATTGTATAGTTCGTATAGTTGTATAAAATATGGATGAAAAAGCTAAAATGAAATACCAGTAGCATAATAGATTCTCTGTTGAACAATACTCTTTAAATATTTGCATTTCCCAATTTATTTTTCCCTAGAATAATTAAATAAGTATGCTTTATTTATATATGCACACACACACACACACACACACATACAACACTGACACAAAGCAGACTGAAGACACATTCTCACACACTCCACTAAAGCCGAGAGGTGAAATATTGGGGGAGTGAGAGAGAAAGCCTGAGTCAGCAGACGCTGTGAAACTGCAGCTCAGTGTGAGAATGTGCATTGAGGAGGAGAAGAACACCGATAGAGACACCAATCACAGACTTAAGAGCTCTCCTCAAACCTGCTCCCTGCATCACCGACCTCCCCCTGAACGTCTCGCGCTCCTCGTGCATCCAGTGCGTGTGTGTGTGTGGGTGAGGAATCTAGTCAGAATGACCATGAGTGTGTGTGTTTGCATAGCACAGAGACCTTGGGGATTGTGGGAAAGTTCTGGCATGGTGCAACGTGTCGCAGAGACGTACGAGTATCATCACACACGAACAATGGAGCTCAGGCTGACAGGTCACAACAGCCTTACAGCCTTCCTGAAACTCCAGACGTGTTTAAACACATACAGCGGCGCAGTGAAAGTGTCTCTGTTAGTTTAGTGAGTCTGCGGGAGTGAGTGAGTGACAGAAGGAGAAAGGAAGGGGGAAATACAAGAGAAATTGCTCACTTCCTTTAGTTAGTAAGATATTCCACACACAGTTTCGAAGGAAACGGCAAGCACACTCACACATTAATGTGATGCAAGTGTGTGTGTGTGTGTGTGTGTGTGTGTG